GGTTGGGAGGATTTGAAATCCGCGGATATCCAGCATGATATTTCTTCCTCCATAAAACTCTGAATTTAATGCATTGGGAAGGCACGTCTTGGTGACTGGTGCGATTTGGAACTGAAATACTGGGGTAGTTACCGACGTCTTATTACAGCCCTGCCATGCGTATCTGTAAAATTCCAAGTTATTGGAACGTGAACTTAATCCCTTCCAGTGTAGAGCAGATTTGTTGATCTTCTTCTCAAACTGCTTTTTTACAAAAAAATGAAAGTGCTCTTTTTTTTTCTTTTTTTTGAAAGCGAACAATATACATATGAATGTTTCAGATATCAAAGGATGACACCGGAGCAAAGGAAAGCTTATAACCAGAAGCGATACACGCCGAAACGTAAGCGTCTCGAAAATATGGAAAATGGTGAGGGTAATTCAAGGCGCAAACGTAATCACGAAGAGCAGTTTGACGCATTGTCGTCTCTGGAACGAGATGTCATCAAGCGGACACAGCAGGTAAATGTACTAGGGTAACCAGAAAAAAAGTAATGGAATTTGAATGCACATGAGTTCCAGAACCGAAAGAATTCTGGGGATTTGAAGGAGGAACATCCTGCTAAAATTTCAGCTTCCTAGCTTTACTGGTTCCAACTCACTGCTTTTCCCACCAAAATTTTTACTTTTGGTATATAACTGGACCGCTGCTGAATATGCTTTTGCGTACATTTTTACATGTTGTGCAGTTGCAGTCCAAACTGCGACTTACCAGGCTTGCCGGTGCGATCATACATTTTTGCCTGCGTGGGATCTGCCTACTCAGAAACTGCATTTGAAATCTCCGGGTTGTACGTGGGCAGAGAAATTAAAAAAACTTTTTGCTTTGCGTGTTGCCAATTTTCCCGCCAAAATTTTTCCGCATGCCTATACGTAGGATCAAGGCATACTTAGGAAATGAATTTGAAATCTTTAGATCGTAAATAGACAGAGGAAATCCCCCCGGGAATTCAGATGCCTAAGTTTTCTGGTTCCCGAATTATAAGT